AGAAGAAGATCTTTTATTACTCAAGGGATAACTATTTCTACAATGCTTTGACAACTCACAAGACTCACAATGAAGACTGGACAAACTAATTCCCTTAAACARYTCWGRGAATAAATGASTCAATGCAGAAAAAGAAAGATGACCCAAACGAAAATGACATAACATGACTCGACTGATAGACTCTGTAGATATAGACCCAAAAGCAGCTTTTGCAGGTTGTTCAGGGCACTGTCCCGGACAGTGCTCCAGACTTCGTTAACAGGAAAAGAAGTACCCAGATTAGAAGGGAGGACCACAGTATTGAAGAAGAACAAGAAAAGCAACCTGAAGATGTTACAGTCCAAATTCTACTGTCAAGACAAGAGTGGTCTAGAAAAACTGAGTTTAGAAGAGAAAAAAGATCATGTGCCAAACCCATTTATGAGTCCCTCAAACTTCTCCTTGGTCCCAAATCCCAAGAATCCCCAAAAACACAAAAAAGAAGAGATAATTTAAAACTTTTTCAAAGAAAGGGAATTTAAGTTCGGGAATCTATCCTTAAGGGGAGATTCCCCAATCCACAAGTCCTCCCAAAAAAGAATCTTATTACCCATGTGAGCATCATACTTGATGAAAGGGGAGAAGATAAGTAGGATACCAACAATGTCTTTCCATGAGGAAAAGGGCGACGCCCTTGGATCGATTCCAACATCCCATCCATTTGTTGCCATTCCATGAATACTTCTTATAACCTTATGGCATAAACTTTCTTGCTCCTCAGGAAACCTCCATAACCATTTGCCTAACAATGTTGTGTTTCTTAATCTAATATTTCCAATCCCTAACTCCCTTTGTCTTTCTTTCTAGACACCACTTCCCACTTTACCTTATGATCCTTTTTAGAATCACCAGGTTCCCACAGAAAATCTCTCATTATTTTTTTTTTCAATCTGGTTTGCAATCTTAACAGGCAATTTGAAGGTAGACAAAAAATACATGGCAAATTTGCTAGTGTTGCCTTAATTAGAGTGATTCTACCCGCTAAAGAGATGTAGTTCCTTTTCCATCCTGCTAATATTTTTGAGAATCTTTCCAAAAGTAGGTACTAAAAGCTACCTGACCTTGGGTTTCCTCCCAAAGGTAAGCCTAAATACTTAAGAGGCCAATCACTTACCTTACAACCTAAAGATCTAGCCAAAGATGCTACCTCTACTTCTTGCCTATTAATTCCAGCTACACAACTTTTATTCCAATTCACTCTCAAGTTGGAGACCTTTTCAAAACTCTCTACGAACACCTTTAGATTTTCCAACTCCTCTGGATCTCCTTCACAAAAAGGAATCAAATCATCAGCAAATAGAAGGTGGATTACAACTATTTCCTCCCTCCCTACTCTCCACCCTCTAAACAAATTTCTAGCATTAGCTCTAGTAATTTGGACTAGAGCTAATGCTAGCATTAGCTCCTTTGGATCTCCTTCAAATTTCTAGTAAGTTGGAGACCTTTTCAAAACTCTCTACGAACACCTTTAGATTTTCCAACTCCTCTGAATCTCCTTCACAAAAAGGAATCAAGTCATCAGCAAATTGAAGGTGGATTACAACTATTTCCTCCCTCCCTACTCTCCACCCTCTAAACAAATTTCTAGCATTAGCTCTAGTAATTTGGACAATCTATACATCAACTATTAGGGTGAAAAGGAAAGGGGAAAGAGGGTCCCCTTGTCTTATCAATAAAAACATTGAAGAAACATACATAAGGTTCAAAGTATCGAAAATGCAAGGAATATTAAAAAGGTAATTTCAAAAGATGTATTGGGATAGACATTGACACATTGTGAAAACTCAAATAAGTCTCAAAAGTTACATAAATGACACTAAATTGAGGTCATAAATGACTATAAAGGTGGTACATAACAACAAAAAAGACATACTTTAATAGTTTATGTAAAGTATGGACAATTGGAAACAATTGAGAAATGTTGAAAATTGATAGAATAACTAATATATGGATGTATTTCTTAATTCTTAAAAGCCAATATAATTATTGTTAGTATTTATAAATATATAAATTTTAATAGTTAATTGTTTCTTAATTTTTTTTGATAGGCATGCACAAAGAAAAATGAACCAGAGAAGTTTTGAAGGGATGTTATTTTCGTAAAGTTACTGCTTATTTTCTAGAAGAAGTTTATTTTTGATGACCATTTACATGCAACCAAACACTATAAATTTTTCAAGTTGTTATTTTCCTTCAATTTATGTGCAACCAACTGCGGTTTATTGAAATTCTACAAATTCAATTGCTGTGCATCATCAGTCAAAATTTTGGAGGAAAAAGTAACATTTCGAAAGGAGTAATAACCTACTAACATTAGTCAAGGTGTTCCAATGCAACAGAAATGACATGGAACAGTTGATATATTGCTAGAGGTTGCAGCAGGAATCTGCTTATGCTAACCTTTTCCAAGAGTCTCAATGCAAATTTTTGAAGTATCAATTTGTCGAGAACATGACCTCCAACTCGATGAATTTCCTCACATGCTTGGAACAGAAAAGAGGTAATATAAAGGGAAGGCAAGGAAGGAAGTGATATTTTCATCTCCAGTTGGGCCTCATTAGACTGCTCCTGATTGACTACAGTTTCTTCCCAGCCCTGCAAGAAACTCAAAATCAAGCCAAGAGTTGGTAAACAATGGCTAGCAAATCAATCAGGAAAAAAAAGAAAAGAAAAGAACCATCATCATTCATACTTAAGCCAGAAAGAGCTCAGGATGTTTCTGCTTTTCATTTTCAGAATTTCACCGGGGGGGGGCACAAACACCTTTCTCCTCCCTATAGATAATTTTTTCTAATAACTCAACATTATAACATTGATTAATTCTTCAGATGAACAGCAAAGTTTCAAAGATTTTACTAAAATGTAACGAAAAATACTATGTTAATTAATTTTTATCTAAGATTCCTATTAGTTGCATCTTAATTACAATGTTTTGTAAACAAACTTTTCAAAAAAGAAAAAAGAAAAACGTGTTTTGTTAACAAACATATTCCAATTTCCAAATTAATCAATTTTGCTGCATTTTTTTCATGTTTCTCCAGTAGATTTCTTTTTTTTTTCTGCCATAAACAAACATCAGGCTTTATCTCCCTAGATATAATACAGCATATAAGAGAGAAACATAAAAATCATGACTCCTACATGGAGATCAAATGCAACTGCTACCATTAAGAATATCCATTTACATACCATTTGTTTCATTAAGCAGTACTTAACTCATTCTCAACGACAATCGTTCACCCTTGCAACTTATTTATTCAGGATCCAATGGCTCTAGGGACTTCAAAGGCATATGTGTTATCAGTCATTGAATTGATTGCCCCAAGATTCAATCTGAACAAACCTTCAACTCTGGAAGCCAAGGCCCTCACTTCTCCAATATGATGTCAAAAAGGTACTTACAAAAAATGTTGTCAGAAAGGTTAATGGCCCTCAGACTATCAAGCTATTTTTAAAAGCCTAGATCATTGGCATTTAAAGTGAACATATCATCGAGATAGACTGAGATCAGGTAATTATATGGCTGGTTCAATTAGTGGGAGGGGGGAATTGCAATTATACTGAGCCTCACAAGGATGGTTAGCCGATACTGACCACCACTAAAATGCCATGTACATTAACCTTTATTCCAATTAATATAATCTGATGACCTCCTCTCCCTGTACAATATCTTTGATCTGAATCATAATTTGGGATCAAACGAAACAAAAAACATGAAAATTACATTAGTGGTTTGCATTTCGGAAGTGGATGTGCTGTTTTAACATAAACTGTGTCTTATAGTGTGTTGGTGTTCCTAAAGGTATTTCAGGATCCTTTGTGTGATTGGTCTTGTTGTGTAGACTATATTTCAGTTGTGTGAATGAATTGTGGTCTTACTTACCGAAACATCCTAAAGAAAACTCAAATAGCAACCAAGCCATAGATATGCATCCTATTCATTTGATTCTGTAACATTAAGCCCATTGGAGATAATACTGGGAGTACCAGCACTGAATGATTTCAGAAACTATGTAAACAAAATAAAAAGAAAATGGCCATAAAGAAAGCAATACAATGAAACTTACCAGTTGTAACTTTATTTGATTTATTTAACAATATAATAAAGTTATAATTTTTTATTTGGGTAGGGTTGTGGGGAGGAAAAGATCTCTCCCAGGATCAGGAAGAGATAAATAATATACTCATACTAGGAAAACTAGCATTTTACATAGTTATATTCAAGGTGTAAATATAGCAAGCTTAATGGAGGAAGAACTGGATCTTTAAAACAAATGTAAAAAGCAGAAAGAAAAGAACGATGAGGATCAAGAGCATCAAGCAAAAAAACTTACACGCAAGGACGTTGTTGCTGATAAGGCATCATCTGTCATTAGACCCCTGTGCAGTATAACTGACAATTCAGTGGACACCAATGATATCCACAAACTATGAGACATAATGGAAAGATCTCGAGAGAACCTGGTAAGTTCTTCGAGTCTTGGACTGGCATTGTCATTCACCCCAAATAAGGCAGCAGTAGCCAATGAAGTTTGTCTTCTAGAGCTATCAAACATCAGCCTTCTTGTGCTATCACGCATAGGGGAATCAAGGAACACACTAGATTGCCTCAATATGGATGGTAACCTCTCAAAAGTAGTTCTCATTGTTTCATTAATCCATTGCCTTGGAGAACCAAGTATCAGTGGTATGTGACTTGAATGGTTCCGCAATGCATATAACAGTCGTCCAATGAACAGAGATCTCTCAACAATTATAGTAGGTGGTTCAGAGTCTCTTCCCTCATTGCCTTTGTCCAAAGAAGCAGACAAGTGTTTGAGCTCATATTCAAGCCCCTTGAGTAAGGTTGATATGGTTTCATAACACTTATCTTGTAGATATGGTGCTAGCTCCTTCAGCCTTGAAATAGCCTTTTGGGATTCTAAGAAACACAGCAGATCCTCCAGAACAGTCTGGCATCTACTATCTACCGCATCTCTGATGCGACTAACTTCAGGTCCAAAATAGGCACTGAAACAACTGTGGAAATCACTCTCATCTGTTGTTGCTTTGAAGCCTGATCCTGGACCTGCTTTCTTAAATTTTGTTTCCAAAAACCACACCCCACCACCAGTACAAGGTCTATTCAAGTATCCCTGGAAATCGATCTGGTCTCCAGGGCCTACTGCAATAGCCCGAATTGTATCTTTCACGTTGACAGTTCTGCTCAACTCCTCAAACCCTGAATGAACAATCTCTTTCATCCTCTGAACAAAAGCATCCTCGAATATTCCATCCCAAAGGTCTTCATTATTTGCCAAGACAAGCTCCCGGACATTGTTCCAAGGTGACTCAATCTCAGAACCAAATACACTCCTTAGCCACTCCAAACTCCCCTCTAACACTTCCCGACTATCTAAAGTATCTCGGATCTGCCTCTCAGCCGATGCAAGTTCTTGCCCACTTCCGATGGCATCAACCAAATACCTCCCATTAATTTTACTAAGAATCTCTTCAGCACAATTCCTCAACCAATTTGAAGAAGCCTGAGAAATGAAATCCCGATCAAGCATCACCATTACATATTCCAGTTTCTCCCTAAATAATTTCCATAATTTCACCTCCTCCTCAGGATTCGGAATTCCCCCAAACAATTGAGTACCGGGTGGCGAACTCAATATAGTTTTATAAAATAAAGGCATGTCATGCAAAACATGCAGGAATAGTTCCCCTACTTGTGCTAGACTAACCTGGATAATCCTCACAACTTCACAAAAGATGGAAATCGCAGAACCGGAATCACAATTACCAGATCCACACATACCTAGTTTTTGAGAGATCCACGACCTCCTCGAATCAAGAAATAACCGCAGAACCTGCTTGGGATCGTGCTCATCAATTACGGCAACAGCAGCCAGAGCGTCCGCGTAAGCTCCAATCGCAAGCCCCGAATCCATCAACCTCTCCCGGCTCCTCTGTGAAATCTGGCCCTTAAAGCTCTCGACGATCTGCCATTGGTGCTGAAGCAAAGGGAAATTAGACAAGAAATTCCTATCCGCATGGCTCCTCACCACAATGCCGTGAACCTCCTTGGCCCGAAGGTACCTAGCAGAGGCCTCTAAAAACATCGATTCATCCAGACAACCCCATATATTCTCCGGCGTATCCACGAGGTACTTCACACGGCAGGCAATCCCATAAACTCTGACCCTTGAAGGATTAGGACTCAATTTAGGAGTTTCTGCAGCAGCAGCAGCAGAAAGTGAACGAATTCCTACGTCAATCATGGAAATGTTGGCGGAGATAGACTCGCATGACGCTTTCATGAGGACGATAGAGTCCGCAGAATCAATCAAATCACGATACCGATTACCGACGAGTTGCCGGAGCTCTTCCTTCTTCTCTTCAATCTCCTTCTTGGTCGTCGCTTCCGCATTTCTGATTTCAGAGATCGGCTTTGTTCGGAAGAGAGACTCAGCATCCTCGCCCGACCTCGAAGTTACTTTCATGGCGGATACCGACCTCGAAGGTACTTTCATGGCGGATACCGACTTCTTGGTTTATGGCAATGTCAGCTAGAAGGCAGATCCAGAATCACTGACATGAGAACGGGGAGAGGACTGCAGGAGTGCAAATGGATCGGATCCGATCCGAATCAGATCCTATTTTGTCGAATTCAGACATAACCCAATTTTCGATAAGATGGCAACGGTTGGGTTTGGGGATTTTGTAAAAGGAAGGGAAAGGAAAAGATATAGTATCAGAAGAGTTTTGATCGATCAAAATCATGAATTTTGATAAATAACGCCTGATTGGCTATTATGTTTATGATTCCAGAAAATTTTCGAATATTATATTTTTTTCATGTCATAGTCGAATCCTGTTAATATATTTAAACTTAATACTTAAAATTTTCAGATATTGCAAATTAGTATATTTTGGATTTAATGTCACTTTGTTCTTCAAATTTTAAAATGTATCAATTCAATATTTAAACTTTTAAAAATGTATCAATTTAATAGCTACTGTTAACATATTTATATCACATTGAGATTATGTATGAATATGACAATACTTTTGAAAATATTAAAATTGCCCTTAAAAATAAAACATTGTTCAGACTTCAGAGCCCGATTTGTTGTGTTGCGTGTAAGCACCAATGTAGAGAAGCGTTGCAGAGTTAGCTTTTTCTCTGCCCCCTTCCTCACCATCTTGATTTGGTGATCAATGAAAGAGTAAATGAAGAGGAGCGTTCTGGGTTTTCTCTTTCATTGACCAGGCGAAACCCAGATACAAGAAAAGACTAAATGAAGTAAAAAAAGATAAAAGGATATTCAGTAAAAACACTATTGTAAAACCAAGACCTAGATTCAGAAATTTTATTATCTATCATTAACCAAATGATACCCAGATTCGAGATAAACTTAACTGAAGTAAAGGAGTAAAGTGAAAACAGAATTGCAAAACCTAAATTCAACTTCAGAATTAAATTTGTTATTTAAATTAACCATGCATACGTCACCATTGATGTGAGCCATGTCACATATAGTAAGAGCGCACCACACTTGTCCACAATAGGTCTGAACTCTTGTAATCCCAATCTCTGGGATATGCATTTCACTAACTTGGATATTTCTTTTCATTTTTCTAAAGGTTTACCAAAAATGTCGATGCTTCTGCCCCATCTCTCTCGAACCTATGTAGGACCCAGTGACTCTCTACACTGGCCAAACTTATGAGAGATCCAGCATTATCAAATGGGTTCTCCTTACTTCCTTAGGGCACTTCATCTGCCTGAGAACGATGCAGGAACTTTGAGACAGATTCGAACACACCAAACAAGACGCTTCATCATCTCATCTATAGATGGTTCTCTCAGAAATACTTGCTTATGAAGAAGAGACGAAGAGTTGCAAGGCAGGGCATCAGAGCTTCTTGGAAGGTTAAGGGACAAGCCAGAGTTCAAGCCCTCAAGGAGTTGCAACATGCATCAGGTCGTAGTGGCCCATGAATCTGATGCTACCTGCCAAGATCTCTTTCATGGTACATTTTTAACGAGGGGTCCATCAAAACCAATGGAAATTACTAGAGTTCGGCGCATCTTCTCAACGTTTTAATCCCTTTATTATTTACTCTGCCTTCTAATTCTGAAAAAAAAAAAACAGTTGATAAAGAAAATTAGATGATATCCATAGGGTATTTTTGTCTTTTCACATAATGGTGAGAACTAATTTGATATATTTTGAAAGCTTAGTACTAAGTTGACACGTTTTGAAGTTTGGGGAATAAAGTGACACTAGGTCCAAAATATAGAGTACTAATATAGATTTTTCCCTTCTAAACTATAGACCTTACTTGCCTCCCTAAACCTCTGAATTCATAATTGCCCGAAAACTCATAGTGGGTTGTATTTTGATAATCCAAACCGTTCCTGTACATGAAAATGCAAAACCCTCCCCGACCCTACCATACTCACATTCAAAAATAGGAATGGGTTGGGTTTGGAACGTGCATCTAATTTCCTATTATTTTTTGTTATATATAAGCAATAAATAAGTAAAATAACAAATTTCCAATTATTTGATTAAGACATGTAAAAAACACAAACTACCATTTATCCTTTACATAAAATTCAAAATATTATTAAATTCAACACCTAGTACATAAAGTTCATATGGTTTCCAACAATATACAATCGAGGGGGTTTGACTTAGCCTAATACCATACCCTACCTATACTCGTACGGAGTTGTAGAATCAAATCGGCCCCCTATCCAATGCGAAAAAGATTTAATCTCTCTCTCTCTCTCTCTCTCTCTCTCTCTCTCTCTATATATATATATATATAGACTATTATGCTTTTAAAATATTCAAAAATTAAATCGGATCAAATCATATCGGATATTCAACATATTAACGGATTTGAATTCGGATTTGTGTTTCTAAGATCCTATTAGATCTTTGGATCAGAATAGATCAGTTGTTTGTTCTATTGGATCGGATTTGAATATATCCTAATTCTAGGGATGGAAACGAATTGAGCCTTTCATGCGTTATTTGAGCTTGGCTTGTGAAAAACTCGATTTGACCCAGCTTAAACCAAGCTTCGAGTCAAACTCGATCCAAATATATGGGCTTATTTTCTAATAATGGTGTAAAACCCTAAACGTCGTCTTCTACCTCTAACATTATGTCAATCCCAATGTTGATCATCCCCCCAAACCTACCTTTGTGATTATTATCTCTAAACTATCCCCAATCAAAACCCAATCTTTGACAATTCCAATTGTTCCTCCTACGTTGAAGCAAAAGGTGAACATGTTGTTGTGTTCCCATATGATATTTTACAACAGTCTTATGATATTTTTCCAAATGGGCGTTGATTGGCATGTGCATGCATGGCCATCTGACACTTCCGACGACAAATGATTTCATATGTAAGTCTTTCTCTCCTAAGAATAATATTTGGGTTACGGCTCTAGACTCCAAGCACATCCTAATTAGTTTGCAGGAGGATAATCTTAAGCTTTGGCTTCATGAAGTATTATGACATCAAGAACACGTGCCAATTAGTTTCGCTAGCTATCGCCTTATTGATCTTGATCTTGATTTCTCATTCCAACGTGTGCTAAGCCTTTGTTTTCTCAAAGCTACATTGAGTCTTTGTCACCTCATTGCAGGTTGCGTTGAGCTTTGTATATCTGCTCATCACAACCTTTCCTCATCACAACTCCACTTTTGTCATGCTATGCCGGCAACTCCATTCTTCACCAGATCACAAAAAATGGCAGTTAGAGGCAACGAGTGTAGAGACGTGGACATCAAAGATGCAGACTACTCTGATCCCACATCTTCGTACTATCTTGGCACTTTGGACAATCCCAAAATGGTACTAGTCACCACTTTACTGAACGGTGACAACTATTCGACTTGGAAAAGAGTAATGACGAATGCTCTTTGGGCAAAGAACAATATCGATTTTGTTGATGGAACAATCTTTAAGTCAGACCAGACAAGACCAAGCTCTTTGCTTGGAAGAAATGTAATTCAATGGTCATATCCTAGATCTACAATGCCTTAACCAGAGAGTTACATGATAGTGTTGCTTACATGGATGACTCTCGGGCAATCTAGTTGGATCTTGAAGAGAGATTCTCGCAGGGAAATACTCCCCGCATCTTCCGCTTAAAACAAGAATTAGCTCTACTCAGGCATGACAACCTCTCTGTTTCGATGTATTACACGAAAATGAAAGCAATTTGGGTTGAACTCTTAACTTATATTTCAACACCTGTCTGTACTTGTTATACATGTGGTTTGATGAAAGATTTGATAGTAGAACGCAAAAAAAGATCGCATCTACCAGTTTCTCATGGGTCTCAAGGACCGTTTTAGTATTATTCACTCCAATATTCTTGGAATTAAGCCACTCCCATCTATGAGCAAGGCATATGCCTTAATTACACAAGAGGGGAAACATCAATCAGTAGTTGGACAACAAAGTCCTACGATTGAAGCAGCAGCCTTCCATGTAACTGATCAAACCAAAGAAGGTTCTAAGAACACCAAAGATCGACCAAAGCTTCGTTGTGATCACTACAAAAAGACGGGACACAACAAAGATCATTTCTATGAACTCGTTGGATATCCTTTTGGCTGGGATGTAAAAGGAAAATCTGGCACAAAGAAAACCCATTATCAAGAAAAGAATAATACCAACACTCCGAGGCCAAACTCACATGCCTCAAATAGATTCCTCACCGATTGCCAACCTCATAATGGAGCAGTACCAATAGCTTTTGAATCTTCTCAAGTCTGATAACCTAGTGATTTCATCGAATTTTGCTAGTAAGGCCTCTAGTTTACATTGGCTATTTGAGTCGGGACCTTGGTTACTAGATAGTGGTGCATCAAACCACATGGCACCCTCAACCATGAGTCCGAATAATCACACTATTCCCGCACCCGACAAGCCAATCCACATGCCAAACGGATCTGTAATGCCAGTTCAATCACAAGACGATTTGGCAGTATTCCCGGATTTGTTCCTATGTGATGTTTTATTCGTGCCGGAGTTCAAATGCAAGTTGTTATCCATCAACAAATTGACCTCACAACTTAATTGTGTTGTCTTGTTTTTCCCAAATTTCTGTGTGATACAAGACCTGAGATGGTGATTGGAGTCTGCCATCCGTGGCCCTTCACACTGTTTGTGATGCTGACTCAAGATTATGACATTCAAGACTTGGACATGCTTCTTATCAGAATATTGTTTTGATTTTTTATTTACATACCATTGTACCTAATAATATATGTTGTGATGCTTGTATGAAGGCAAAACAGGCTCGACATTGTTTACCCATTAGTAAGACCCGTGCTATGAAATGCTTTGATTTGATGCATATAGATATCTGGGGTGGATACCATACACCTTCACTTATAGGGGCTAGATATTTCCTTACCATTGTGGATGACTATTCATGAGCTACATGGTTTTTTTTTTATGCAATGCAAATCTGATGCTTACTGTTACTTGTTGTTGTTCTTTGCCATGGTTCAAACTTAATTTAGCACATGGATAAAATGTGTCTGATCCGATAATGGATTATAATTTTTGTCTGATCCTATGTAGACATATTTCATTGAGAATGGCATACTTCATCAACATTCGTGTGTTGAAACTCCGCAACAAAACGGAGTAGTGGAATGGAAACACCGTCATATTCTTGAGATGGCTAAAGCCCTACAGTTCCAAGTAGGTTTGCCAATTCAATTTTGGGGAGAGTGTGTTCTTAC